AGGTATCCATGTGATAATTATGTACATAGAAGTAACAATCATTCAGTAAGTGTCAATACCATATTTGCTAAGAAACTCTGTAGTATTAGCAGAAAGAATTCTGAGAGGCAGACATAATAGAAAATAAAAAACAAACCCATCTGCTTTATTAATCATGGCTTTAAAAAAGTCTCTGCTAGCTATGCAGCTATTTCAAGAACTGTACTGTTTAAATCTATATCCAAACAAACACAGAAGCCACAATAAATCTGTCATTCAGTTATTCGGTTCTGTGGCTTTAAATGATTAAAAATGATAAAATTCAAGAACAACATTAAATGGAAATGTTGTCTTTGTGCAGCTTGTAACACTGGGGGTTTAGCTGCTAATCCTCTCAATATGGAAACTGTTGAGTCAGGGCCTGAACCACTGATTGAGCACCTGTGGAAGGGACCCAGCCCTGGGAGCACAGGTGAAGGCAATTCAGCTGTGTGACCAGCAGGGGTGGAGCCTGGCTGAGCTTCTCTTAGACCCCATTTAAGGGCTGACTGCCAAGGGGAAGCATTTCTGGTTGGATTTCCTTCTTTTGTGGATTTTCCCCATGAGTACAGATCTTCAGAGATGGGTGAGTACTTTTCCTTTGTCTTTGTAACACCATTCCATTTGTGTTAGTCCCTTTGCTACTGTGCTCCTGTATCACCCTTCCCTTGTATTGACCTTTCTGATTGTAGCACTCTCTAAATGGCATCCCCAAGGAAAGGGATGGGAAAATGTCCCTTTATCACCACTGTGGGCTTAGACAACCATGCTGACTTCTATTAGCCCCAGCCTGAAGGCGTGAGTGGAAGCAGAGTGGTGGTCACCATGCAGGAAATGGATCCTGGCAGTATATGCAGTATGGACACCTTTTTAGAAAGATGCTGTGGGGATTTATCCTTACCTTGTACCTGCCGTGGTGGGATTAAGGAGGCCGTGAGTCCTCCATGCTGCCCAGGGTACAGCCTGAGGAGCACAGAGGAATTCATGCACCGAGGAAGGCTGAATCTCACCAGGCCTCATCTGAGTGGGCAGCAGGCTCAGCGGGCAGGAGATCACCTCCATGTCCTGCACTGTCCCCAGCTGCAAGCAACTGCTGGAAGAATGCTCTAAGCCTGGACTAGAAGTTGTGAAAACAAGGAAAAAGGTTTAAGTCATATGGAAGCAGAGCAGGACAGAACAGTCTTCTGCTGAGTAAGAAACAAATTGCAAAACTAAGGGGGAAAAAAATACCACACCAACAACCAATTCGGTGATGTGGATGTGTTTAGTGACACATCAGCAGAGCACATTAAGAGTAAGGGTAGATCAACCCCAATGCAAAAAATGGAGAAGGGAAAAGCCCTTCCCCTTGTCTCCTCTACAAGGCCCTTGCCTCCCGCTGACACCAACCAAGGCCACCTCTGTCCCTGCTGGAGTGAAGGACATGATTGATGGGGAAGTAGGCACAGCTGCATCACTGCTTGCCACAATACAGAAGGACCTTGGCTGGTGCCTCCATTGGACAAGAAGTGTAGAAGCAATCGATTCCTAAAGGCAATGCACAAGTGCTTCCTGAGAGCTCCTCGAGCCCACAGCTGCCAGGACCCTTCATTTGGCTAAGGGGAACAATGGGAGGTCAGAGATTGTACCGCATTGCTTGGCTCTGAATTCAGGCTAGTCACAAGGTCCCTGTTCTGCACCCAGCATCCTTTCTCACTTCTCACCATACATAACATTCTGGCTGGGTGACATAAAGGTTAAAAGTAAATTTGGCTGCAGTAGGACAGTGCACAGATTAAGAGAGGAATGTTATTATCGGTGTTCACTATAGAAGGACTGCTTTGCAGTCAGGATGCGATAGACAAATGCCAGCAAAAAGACAGTCACTGTGTGCAACAGCTGACTGAAGTGCTTGCAGAATGGTGCTGTGCTGTTCAGAGACTTATTTCCACTGCACCAATAATCAGAAGGAACCTGAACAACAGCGTGGCTCCAGCTTCACCAGGAGCCCAGCTGCGATTCTCTGCAGCCTGCGGCAGGAATGAGCAGAGAAGGGGGTGAGGAGCTGCTGGCCCCACAGAGCTCACTGAGCTGTGCTGCACCAACACCTCTGAGTGCAGCTTGGGCCCTCTTATAGCCATGTATGGGATTATATATAGTAAATCTTATTAAGTTAAAACTAAATATAATTGTCGGAATTGGCTGACTGTGACTGAGAACTCTTGATCAGAACAAAGTGTTCAGCGCTATTAGAGCCCGTGTGATGACAGTACATTCAACATGCTCTGTCCTGGTTGTTACGTAAGGGTAAACATCTCTTCTAGCTGAAGTCATTGTTAGATACGCTTTAAATGATGCCTTTAATTAAAGACCGCATGCAGGAGAAAAAGTACTTTTTAAAAAGATGGCTAGCATCCTCATTTCTTGCTTTTTTGTTAAACAAGGGTGTTCCATTTTCCTTGGCAAGCACCATGGCACTAAACAGTCATCCCTCTACCTGGCTTACAATATAAGCTTTTTCCTGTAATTTGTTTTAAAAGATAATTTAGTTGCTAGGTCACAGCTCAAGGACCATGCATGGAACTGCCCTACTTTCCTCCAGGGGTGAGCAGGGCTGTGAGCACAGCACAGAACCCCCCCACCCCAGGGTGCTTCTCAAAGCCCTGCTCTGACCATTCTCATACTGCAGGGCTTCTGCCTCTTATCCTGGAAAAACCAACTCCACGCCTGGGTTATCATTGTTTTCTAGCAGTTGATTTAACTCTGCGTGATCCTTACAGAGCGCTTCCATTTTCTTTAATCTCTGCATAGGGGATTACTCCTCCTTAATAAGCACAATGGTCTGGCTGTACCCTCCAATTGCCAGCATGTGCAACCTCTTCAAGTGCTTTCAGGCTGAATTTCAACTGCAGTTCCTAAGCACTTCCCCTATTCCTATGGAGATGTTGCTGCACTCCAGTCCAGACCCTCCCTTATGGGAAAGGGCCAACATCCTTCCTCCTGCCCCAGCCCCATCTGTACAAAGGGAAGGGGCTATGCCAAAGCTCAGTAGCACACACAGTGTCCTTGTTCTAACAAAGCTGCAGCTGCCAGAGAAGGAGAAATGGAAACATTATAGAGAAAGTTCCAGGAGTTTGCCAGAAGATGCAGTTTTATTGTACAGCTAATTAGCTACCTCAGGAAGAGCTCTGATGGGAAGAACTAGAAAAGAAGTGAACTAGAAAAGAAGTAAATACTGCTGCTCTTAAAGCAAGCTGCAACGGAGACTTGGTCTACACTTTTCCAAATACTTTTTAACAGTTACCTGCTCTTGCTCCTGAAATCTCTTTATGCTGGAATACTGGTGGGCTTCTCTGCTGCTTACCTTTACTGCAGGTTACCAGTGACATGAAGGCACTGCATGCAGGTGCACTGTTCTTCGATAACAAGTCTAAGAAGTTAATTGCTGCTCACTTACACTCTGAAATTGAATCACACTTTCAACAGGTACACAGTTATCAGTTAGTTACACACTCAGGCTGTAATCACAGCTGTACCCCTGCACAAGACTCCCTTATGCTCAGGCTGTACACAGTGGCAGAAGCACACAGAATCATAGAATGGCCTGGGCTGAAAAGAACCACAACAATCACTGAGTTCCAACCCCCTGCTATGTGCAGGGTCACCAACCACCAGACCAGGCTGCCCAGAGCCACATCCAGCCTGGCCTTGAATGCCTCCAGGGACGGGGCATCCACAACCTCCTTGGGCAACCTGTTCCAGTGCATCACCCCTCTGTGCATGAAAAACTTCCTCTTGATACCTAACCTAAACCATTTCCCCTTGTCCTATCCCTCTACCATATCCCCCTACCATATCCCGTGTCCCATCCCATCTCTGGAGCCTGCCCTGCACAAGACAGGCTCCTACTCTCCCTGAGCTCCTTGCAGCACAGGACCCAGAAGCACCGCTGCCCTCATAGCACTGCCAGTGGTTTTTACAGTCACAGCTGTTTGCTTCTCTTAGTATAAAGCACCAGGAAACAACAGTCATTTTTTGCTGGCCATGTTTTTATTTGTCTTTCGTTTTAAACAGGGGAGCCAATGATACATCCAGTATTTAATTAAAAAAAAAAAATCAGAAGGGAAAACAAATTTTCAGAAGACCGAGATGCTACATGCTATATTTAACCTAATTTTAATTCATGCTTGCTTCAGGGGGGAAGGAAGGGGGCAGGAATCATTCAGTAAAAACATACAGTAAAAACAAAATGTCTCACCATATAGAACTTTAACCTACAGTAATGTTGTACCTTAATTATTTCCATGCACACAACTAACATTACAAAATTTTTTAGAAATGAACACAATTAAGACTTCTAGGAGCATTTTATAATAAAGCGATTCCTAATTTCTTTTGTAGAGATCAAGCACCTCCAATTACAAATTCCTATACACAGTGAGTGCTTTACTTGAAATGAAAACTAGAAAAAAAATGTATTGGATAGCCTCAGAATAAGCCGATGTTAATATATATCCAGCTATGTAGGCAATAAAACCATAGTGCTAAACAAAAACTTTTATCTGAAACGTAACTCAAAAATTAAGTTGACTTTCTATAATTACAGAAATATACTTATTTGCTAAAATAAATAAAAGTGCTGCATATTAACACTTCACTATAAAGAATGCATACCAGAACATTTATAAATATTGAATGGTTTTCAGTAAGAATAGCTACTACAATAATGCTGGCTAAATAGAAGTGCATAATGAGAAGCACTATGGGTGGTTAATGTTTTGCCACATACTGCTGTTACCTTGAGGTAGATAACACATGCGTACCAAATTCTGCATTCGTTTCAGTTGCTGCTGGTATCATGTGTCTAAGAAATGTGTACAGTATGAAAAACTCTGAAAGACGCATGAATGAAAAAAACCTTTTGGGAAAAATAGATATTCTCATGCAATTATGTACAGTCTCACTGTGTAAATTTCAAGGCAAGTTTCTTTTTTTTTTTTTTTCTGCAAAACATGGACACTGTTTTACTGAGAGAATGGTTTTGTTTTTTTTCTTTTTTTTTTTTTTACTTGGTTTAGTGCATTTTTTGTTACCTCCTGCATTTTGCATTATTTTGCTCTATTCTTTAATTTTGTGTGCAAACGACATGCCAGTTTAAAAACAAAACTAACTTATGTATAGAAAGTAATTCTGGATTGTAAAAACAATGGTAAACAGAAAGCTAATGAAATCCATACCAAAATTACACCGTCTGATTCAAGTAAAAAAATTACTTACACTAGTAATAAAAAAAGACAAACACAGCTCATGAATATAAAAGAAATGTCTGCTGAGTGTTTTAATTTAGATGTTTCAGAATGCTGCTGTACGTTTTGTGGGGAATCTGGGGAGATGATTTCATAGCAGAAGGCGTTAGCGTGGCCTGTATGGATTTCAGTGGTGAACCAACAGGGCTATGAAACTGAGGAATACCTATAGCCTCAAGCTGCTTGTTGAAGAGGAGTTCTCCACTGTTACTGAGAAAGCTCTCTCCTCTCTCCTTCTCCCCAAGCTTCCCCTCTTCTACTGGCTCAGGTTCTAGCATTTCAGCATCTTCTTTCTTACTAAAAAATTTGTCCAAATAACTGGTGTAAGTATTTTCTTTTTCAGCTTGTTCATCTTTCCTCACCTCACAACAGAACTGGTCTATGAGGAAGCACTCCTCCCCGTTACTTACAAACTGACTGTCCCAAGAAGTTTGGTACAGAGCTCCTAACTGTGCCAAGTTAGCCATTCCCTTCTCCTGCTTCTCTCTGCTTACCGACTTCGATATTAATCCTTTCGACTCCATTTGAGACACCGAGCTATTCAAGTCATTTAATTTATCAACATCAGTAGGCTCGTGTTGTAAACTAAGCTGAATGGTTTCTGCTATAAACGAATCAAAGTCAAATCCTTGATTCTTCTCCCTTTCTTTTTCAACAAGTTGCTGTGATGCTTCCTCAAGCGCTATCTGGGCTTTCACCAATCCATTCTTTTCACATTTAGACTTGCCTTTCTTATCAGACTTTTCTTTGCTCTGTTCCTTCCAGTTTGAAAGATCTATAATAAGCTTGGGCTCATAGTAATGGTTAACTTCACTGTCTCGCCAAACTAAATTATCTAGGTATGAAGATGACCTCATTTTGTAATTACAAGTGTGACTACATTCCAGATCACAGTATTTGTTTTCATGGTGATCTGAATACTGCCAGCAAGGCTCAGTAGAGAAGTGGGTGTCAAAAGCAGGATCCTCCAGATACTTTTCACGATCTCCATCCAAATATTTGCGAGGATCTACTTGCACTTCTTCCTCATCAGTAACATCAGAAAGAGCCCTTGGATCACGCTGAACTTCATCAGCTTCATAGTTATTATGAATAGGCCAGTCATGGTCTGAAAACTGACTTTCATGGTATCTGCAAAACAATTTCCTAAGCGTTAGCAGCTAAAAACAGTCTTCTAGCTCCCAAGACAGAGACAGTTACATTTAGCAATTCCCTCACAGAATAATGACAATTCAATATAGATGACAGAAGTTTTTCATTTATCAAATCAGGTACCTCTTCCAGGTTGTTTGTTGTTTTGCTTTTTTTTTTTTTAATTTAATCTGGCATAAAGCAATCCTCATATGCACATCTGAAAGATTCAAATCCAAAGCTCACTCCATCTACAGAGCTCTTCTGTAAAGTTTAACGCACTTCAGATACCGCTACTGTAATTCTCTTTATTGCTGTACGTACCGAGCATTGGACAAGAGCAATCTACACAAAATAAAAACATGGAGGGGGAGGGAAAAGAAACTAAACAGTAATGGAAAGATTAAACTTTAGATTTTAGATCCCCAAACATATCTCAGAAATATATAAGCATATCCAGGTCAGTCTTATGAGTCATAAGCCCAGTGATTCTTTCTTAAGAAACAAGTAGAAAAGGAAACAATGCCCAAGAAGCAACATGACTTCAAATAGGAAACAATTCAGTCATGCTACACGCCACAGTAAGCAACAAATTTACCTTTCCCAATTATAAATATGGCTGTGACTTTCATCCATCAGCAGAATATCATCAACCTCATCTTCAATGTGAAAAGGATGACTTGAAATAGGCTCATCCGTTGGAAAGGAATAAATGCTCATGTAAGGATGGGACAAAGCTTCTTCTGCTGTCAATCGATCCATGGGACTAAATGTCAAAATTTGCTCCAGAAAGTCCAGTGCTGCAGAGTAGAAGGTATTTAAAAGGAGAAAAATGACATTTCAGACATCTAGAATTGAAGATCACAGCATAACGCTCAGCTCTGGAGGTGTGCATCTGCTTAGAAAGTGTAGCTTGCCAACTGTGAGGTATCTATTACTAGCACTTTACTGCCAAAAAAAAACCCCAAACCACTATTTGGCAACCATAGTAAACAGAAGAGTAGAGGTCAAACCTAGGATCTACAATAAATTAGCCTAAAACAGGAAAAAAGAAATACTACAAGACAGAATGCTTCAGATGGAATCAGTACCCACCAACTATCATGAAACACTGCTGTCAGTAACTAAGATTCAAAACAGATTGTTTTGAGGACTTTAAAAAAAAAAACAAACAACATTTGCAAGAGTTGTTTTAAACTGACTCAATCCCAACATTCCTTTATATTTAGAATGCTAGTGTCTCAAAATAGAGCAGTTTTGTCAGTCTCCCAGCATTAGCAGGTCCAGCACAGATGCATAATTCTACTCCCAACACGACCAAGTAGCTATCATGTAATCAAATTGTGTTGTTTATTACAATAGAAGACACTTCTTCAGAGAAGACAGATTCTTCCAACTGAAACTTCCATGTAACACTTAAGACGTGCACTGCTACATTGATAACCACTGTTCCATGATTTTTTTTAATTATAAGAAATATTTCTTTGGAATTACTTACCTTCAGGACTGATGCCTGGAAGCAACTGAGTTAAAGGTTTGTGTGGCTCAGTCATATCATTTCTAATGTAAACTGGAATTACATTGAGAAGCTCCTGACGGTCCTCCTCATGTACAACAGGAATTGATTCTAGAATCAACTGCATCTGTTCAAGTTCATGTGCACCTAAAGGCCAAGAAAAGACACAAGCTGTCATTTCTACTTCAAGCACTTCCATCTCTGTATACAGGGTTATTTGCATGCCAGTGCTTCCCTCCCTTCCCAAAGAGCTCAGGGCCATCAGAGATACTGACACGTCACAATAAATACAGAAACAGGCTGCATCATCTCAACATCTACATGCTATCGGTTCACTTCAGCAGTCTGCATGACAGCCTGCACTGGACACCCTGCCCTCCATTTACCAGGTTGAGCAAAGAAATGCTAAAGCCAAATCACTGAAGAGAAAGCAACTGAGCCCTACATTTCCCAGCTGGGTCAGTACTGCTTCACATCAACATACTACAAATTCCTAAAACAATCTATCAGACTGCCCATAATTTGCTGCAAATAGAATTCTGCTCTACTATTACTTCACATCCAATCCATGCTAAGATTAATCAGCTTTATTCATTCTACTCTTGGTGAAATTAACATTCTAAAAGATTTATTAAGAAAAAAAAACCAACAATGTTATTTGAAAAAGCTGTTGGACTCCTCTGCCATGATATTGCATCTCCCCCTCACCCCAGGTGTTCTGGGATTTTAAAGCCCATTCTTCTTCCTGTTCCCTTTAGCTTTCCAGAAAGCAAGATGCCGAGGGGATGATTCAGACGCAGGCAGGAAGTTACAGACTGACCAAAACAAGCCCTCCAAACAACTCTGCAAAATAACTTGATTCAGAGTCTCAGGACAGGTTAAGTGGCATATTTCCAAACATGTTCACTTTCCAAATGCATGACTTTAAGAAGTGCATTGTTCTTCAAATCAGAAAACATAGGCATTGCTAAATTAATCAGAAGGGCACAGCTGTATCTAAAAAACTTTTTTTAATGTGTCTATGCAATGCAACAGGGGTACATAAGTGAGTCTGGAAATGTAAGATTTTGGTTATTAAGACCAAGTTAAAAAAACCTAAATCACTGTAACTCTGGCAAATATTAATGCAATTCAAGGGAAAAAACAAACAAACAAACAAAATGCTACTGGCGTCATTACACAGCAACTGCAAAAATCCTGACTTTCTCCCATGTTTCTCAATTATTCAGTAGTAGTACTTGGGGCAAAGCAATCCAATATATCTCTTATCAGTTGAGCATTTATTACACTGGGAACATTACTCCAATAATTATTAGCTCAGAGTTAGCAACTCAGTGCAATCTAAGAAAATCCCCTTTGCATATTATTCACTGACTTCTGTAACATTATGATTTCAGGGTGACAGTATTCCTTTAATAGTACTTAATGAGAAAATGCTTTCACTTTCTTTATTTTGGTGTATAAAGGTAAGAATTACTGCAGAGGTTTTAGTCCACATGTATCTATGTGACTTTTGAACCACAAGCTCAAATCTCTGAGGGTTTTACCTACACAACCCCAGTAAGCTGGGCCAACAGGAGCCAACTGCAACAGAACAGCGGTTGCTGAAGGTCCAAAAGCCACACAGAAATCTGCATTTCAGGGGACTGCTCTAGACTAGCTCATCTGCTCCATGGACTGAATGCCCATCAGCAGGGGGAACACACCAAGTCATCTCAACAGTGCAAAAAGCAGTTTAGGTTTATCTGAGTCCAGTTTGTGCACTGAGCTAAAAATCAACACTGCGGTCAGGAAGGTTACCCAGAGATTCGCCTCAGAAAAGCACTCCTCATCCTAACTAAAGCACCCCATGAGACCAGAGTGCTCCTTACTATTTTACCAGAAAATCAGGAGGTTAAATGTCTCCTTGGGGATGCTACACTGCATTTCAAAATCCTCAAGTCCTGCTAATACCACTGAAACACAAGATCATCTGAAGATTATCAAAGCTGGCAACCTTCTCAGGTCAAAACTGTGTACACTGAAACAGGAAAAAAAAGAGGAAGGGGAAACGGCCTGCTCTTTCACCATCTAAAATATAAAGAAGCAAGATGCAATTAGATTGACTAAATTAAGAAATACTTATGAATGCAATACTAGGACCATTCATAACCCTTAACACCCCTGGAAACATCGATTCACAGAACACTGATTTAGAACACTTCTTACACAGCCAATAAACAGAGCTTAACCAAGTCACAAGAAGATTAACCACGTGTGTACTCACTAAGTTAAATTCTGCTATTTATTGAAATACACAACTAAGACACACAAACACGTCAATTTAGAGCACAACTGTATAATAATACAGCATTATCCTGACAGTCAGAGAGAATTGATACTAACCAGGAAAACAAACCTTTCCTTAGGAATATCATCAGGCAACACCATTCCTTTTAGGAACACAGACAATATTTTTCTTCTACTCACCTGCAAAGAGGGTTTTCCCAGTCAGCATTTCAGCAAAGATGCAACCTGCAGCCCACATGTCAATGGCTTTAGTGTAGTTGTTAGGAGAAAGTAAAAGCCGGGGTGATCTGTACCATTTAGTAACCAATCCTTCAGAAAGATGGCCCTAACAAATACATGAAAACAGACAAACAAAATGCTTACTTACATTTTTAAGTAGTGCGTTTTTAATTACTTTTTTTCCCTTATGTTTTGATGCAACACTTGAAAATTTTGGTCTTGTGGTCTCAGGAATAGTTCTAAGTCATGTACTACCTTTTAAAATGGAACAGCACTATCTTTATGAATGAACAGTAACAAGAGACAAGCATGATTCTACTTATTAGTCAGACACTACAATAAAACTTCATAATTCCCAGGTGCCAAATAAATGCAGACAAAATAATTAGCTCTCTGAGGAGACATCACCTCAACCAGGAACGCAGCACCTCTGAATAAATCCCAGGAAATGGCCACACTCATACACTACGCATGTACCATTCATAATCTTATCTAAGGCTTACTCACTTATGCCTCTACACGATGCTCTTGAAAAATCCCAAGTTCGGTATTCACAGATAAAAATAACCTGCTTTTTCTGAATACATCTAATTATGCTTCATTTTATGCTACAGTAATTGTTAATTGCCCCTATTTGAGATAAAAGACGTCACCTAGAGACCTATTTCATTTGATTTGCAAGTATTTCATTTCTGCTGTGTGTACGACCCCTAATCTGATATCCTACTGCTAAAGAAGCTTTCTACAGACTGCATTTTACTCTAAGTACCTTGACAAGAACCAGCAATTTTATTTAATTCTGCAAGAAGGAAGATATTATTTTAAGGAGGCATGGTTGTCAGTGTATCACTTAAGTATTTCCACTCTTCACACACCTTGTGGGAATAATGAGGATCCATGATTCGTGCAAGACCGAAGTCCCCAATCTTCAGCACCAAGTCTTCGGTATTAATGAAAAGGTTAGCTGGTTTGAGATCTCTATGCAGAACATTTGCAGAGTGGATATACTTGAGCCCACGTAGCAGCTGGTACATGAAAAGTCTGGCATGATCTTCCAGTAAAGGGCCTTGCTCTAGCAGATTAGCCAGATCCGTCTCCATGTATTCCTGGACAATGTAAACACAGTTCAGCTCTGTCAGGGAGCCCACATCATCTGTTAACTGGCTTCCACTAGGACCAAGAATTTCAAATACTTTGACAATGTTATCGTGGTCAAGTCTTCTAATAATTTTGATCTCACGTAGAGCATGTTTAACACTCTGGGGATCCGTAAGGACAATTTTCTTGACAGCCACTCTCTTGTCACAGTCATTGTCGACAGCAGAAAAAACTAAGCCATTTCCACCACAGCCCAGTGGTTTTAAGTCCATATACCGAGAGCCCAGATCAAAACCATGAATGTTCATGAGACTTTCAAATTTTTCTGCCATTTTAAAATTCTTTACGTTTTCTTTTTCCTCAAACTACTAAGCTTCTGTAAACACGCGGAGACACTTCCACTGGTATCTGAAGGAAAGGTCTTACAGAAAGGGAGAAGAAACACTTGGCTTCGACTGCAAGATGGTTTCTTGACACTCTCATTTCATTATGAGCCAGCCAGGCCTGTTGTGTCCCCTTGAATTTAGAGCCCGTCAGCTCTAGAACTCAAACCGAGCATAAGATAGAAAGATTGCAGCATTCATAGTTCAAGAAAGGTGCAGCATTTCTGCAGACATTAAAGAAAATACTCACAAGAAACTCAAACGGAATGAAATGACATACTATGCACTCAGCTCTACTGTGCTAAACTGGTTAACATTTAACAAAAATGTGAATAAATATGCACATAATAGGCTTCTATTAACATCCTCCTCCTCACAGTGCAGATACATTCAGTGTTGGACTGGTCCTGAGCAGCGTCATTCTATGGTGCTGGTAAGCACTATTTTTTTCTTCTTCCTCCTTTTTCCTCTCCTTTGTTTACAGTCTGGTTAAACAGGAAACTGGCAGCTCTTGATTTACAAAAGATGCCTTCTGTTAATGATCAGGTGGCTCCAGCTCACCACAATCACAATCAAAGCTACCATCCATCTTACTCCGTGGCAACCTGAAAAGAAGACAAAAAGAGATCAGTATTCCAGGATGTACAGAAGTCCTCTTCCTCACCCAGCTCCTAACGTTGTCCTTGATATACAGCTCAGTGTTCACTCACAAAACACCAGGTCACCACAGAAGCTGAACTACTAGAAGTGATGTATTCTTCTCATGCTTCTTGCAGAAAGAAATTGACAATAATCACCAGACCATCATTTCTAAACACGCATTGTGAAAGTTTTATGTATATATATATATATATAACCTAGTGAGACTCTAAGGCACATAAATGAAAAATCTTCCAGAGTTTAAGAAGCACCATACAGAACCTGGAATTCTCCACGACAGTAAGACACACAGCAACAACAATATCCCGTACCTCAGCCACCAAGTTTTGAAGTCATTCTTTCCACTCTGTTTTTACTCAAAGCCAGAACTGGGCATTTAACTATTTTGCCATCAGACATAACCGAGTACTGTTCATAAAAAGAAAAAGGATAAACTTCCAAGACTGACTGAATTCCAGAATACATCACACACATCCACTGCCTTAAATCCTTGTGACTTTGCACGAAGCTTACTCAGAGCCCTGTTTTACCTCTCCAGATTGATTGTTGCAAGAATCACAAGGACACCTCCCCTAGATATTACATAAATTACAGTTTACCAGCTACCTCCACATTTAGTCATGCTAGATTATAGAAAGAAATAAATCACAAGGACAACATTTCGCGTAACAACCAATGCAGTCTCCGTTTCCTCTAACATACAGGCACTTTCAGACATCATTAATTTTTCTAATAGCCTAATAAATGCAATTACTAGTTATGAAAACAAAAGTAGCAATTTTCTCGGTAGGTTTCCCTGTCTGCAGCAGCCGAACGCTGTCAGGAAAACCGCATTATATTTCTGCAGAATATCCACGCTGTTTCTTCCAAAAGCTCAGAGACACCACATACAGAAGAGTCAGAAGGAACACCCTGCACAGCAAGGCAAGCTCTGGCCAGTTCCACTTGGATGTTCTTCCCCAAGGACCAGAGTGACAGCAAGCCACAGGATGTCCTAGCTTCAGTCTAAACATAGTTAATCACTGAACACATGTGAGCTCTTCAGCCAGCCCTGTACGCAAGCAAAGATTTTCCAAACCATCCTAGTATTCAGAACTACAAGTTTTAAGGGAGAGCGTTCCTACAGTTAACATTTCAGTGAAACAACCAGGAACAAGCAGAACAAGTTTCCATACTCCTAGCAGCACAGCAGCTGACAAATTATTAATGTACTCTAAAACAGCCTCTTAATTCGCTAATCAGAAATGCGTGCAGAAATAAGACAAAAGGCAGACTGGCAAACAGAAACAGGAGTGCAGCAGAGCTCCAAGGACCACCACTCACTCGTGCAGCACAGGGCTGTCCTGTAAGAATATAAGCAGATATCCTATATATGCAGGACACCAAGCCCTCCCTTGCACCCATGTGCACTCATCCAGGACAGCCCACAGCAAGGAGGAAGGAAAGGAAACACGTCACCTTCTGCTGGTTTTGTTGTTTGAATCGAGAGTGCCAAGTATAGCGCTCCTACACCAGAAGCATTAACTTTTGCTTTGCTGCCCAGCCTCTTGGTTTTTATTTTTTTAAATAAAAGCCTAAAAATATTTTCTCCATCACATGCACCAGTTTCAGGCTCACTCACGTTGAGCTGCTGCCTGCTGATAAACTGGTTCATTTTAATCATTTTCCCTTCCAATCCTCATATCCCACAAACCGTCACAGAAATCCCTTGTTAGAGCTCCCACACGTCACATCTCATGCTTACCCCAGGTCCAGGCCTCTGCCTCAGCACCCTCAGCTGTGTTGTGTTTTATACCTGTAGGGCTGTCTCATGCAGTTTTACTCTCTCCTTCAAATTAAGCCTACTGTTTCACATCACTGATGTCTTCAAGATTCAGCAACACACGGCTGGGTTGCAGCAGCTGTGCAACGCATCTGGAACCTCCATTTCAGCTGGTTCCATTAAAGAACACAGGAACTGATTCAAACAAGAACTGACCCACCAGCAGCAGGGAGTAGCACCACAGGGCTCCTCACTAACCCAGATGCTACCCCAAACACCATGAAAGCAGCGGCACCAGAAGAAGAGGATGACATTGCTGCTTTCTTCCAGGAGAGCAGAGCGATGTCCCACTTGCTTACGGAGCTGGGGATCCTAATGCTTTCACTCTGAAACCCCCCCCCAAACAATGTACTTTTAGTCACCAGTTTCTACTGCATCCCTTTCACTACATAACCACTAATTAAGACATTTTCAGAAGGATTATCATCACCTCCAGAATCAGAGCAATTTAGCCAAGGAATCAAGTATCTACTGATGACATCAGCAACCTGCTGCAGCCCTCCGTCTGACCCCCATCCTGCTACCAGCTCCCCGTGTCGCTTCAAGCAAGCAGCCTGCTCCCAAAGCCCAGCCAGCTCTCCAACCAGTAGGAAGTGCTGGGAATTGGACCCCCAAAAAAAGACAGTGCCTCATGGGGCAAGGATGAGGACAAGCAGAGACAGTCTGAGCAGAAACAGCCTGCTTTAAAACAACTCAAATTAAGATTCAATAATTTGAGAGTGATCTTTTATAGTAACTTAACAAACAACAGGTGTGCAGCAGGTTCATGCAGACCCATGCCTGAATCAAAAAACATGTTTCTGCACTACACCCACTACTTCAGCCCACCCCCTCTCACAAGCAGCACTACAGCTGTGCTGTGCTCTGCTCTTCCTGCTGCCCCACACAGCCCCAGGGCTCTGCTTGGGGTTGGAAACACTGCTCGTGGTTCCCCATCTAGTTAATGGCAAACAGACACCTCACCAGCAGTTCTGCGACCAGATGTGGGTAGGAGGGACAGAAAATAAGAAGTTAACCCTAAACTTCCTTTCACTCAAACTAAAATACTAATTAAAGGATAATCAACAATAAGTTATGACTTTTTAAAAACCAAAATAAGGTCAAAGTAATAACTTTTCTTCTTTGCATTTCAGAGCTGATTTTAACTTCAGGAAAATTAAGGTTTGTTTCTCCAGACTCTCATACTTCAACAACACCAGCACACTTGATGCATTTTCAGTTTCGCTGTCAGCCATAACCATCAGCCTGAGCACCTGTCTTGAAAACAAATAGTAAATAAAGAAGCCGATCACCCCTTCCTCAGTCATGTAACAAACCTAAATCCAGAAGGTCTGTCACACAGGGCAGCGCATTACAGACAGGGGTTAATCACCCTGATTTGTGCCGAACCGGCTGCTCACTTGGCACCGATGGCTCTGCTCAGATCACCTGTCACCTTTCCAAGAGCACCATGTAAAAATTATCATCATTACTACTTGTTTTTGTTCCTTCCTCCCCGGCTCTATGAGCGGTCCAGCCACGTTCTCCCAGCAGACTGCTCCCAGCTGAGGGTGCCCTCACCCCGCACACGGCAGCCCCACGCACTGTGCAAGCAGCTGCCCGACTCCGTGCTCAACTTGTGCGCAGGGCTCTCCTGCTGCTTCAGGAAACAGGATGTGCACTACGACAGGGCAAGTACGAGACATTTACTTTTTCTGAAATCCAAACAGGATGGAAAGATACGAGTTAATTTAATCACGCAGACCGCATTACGATCAAATCATTACTCACAACAGAAAGCCCAGGAATGACTAACGGCGCATTATACAACCTGCTAAGTGCTATCTTCTGACTACAAAAATACAGGGCAGCGGCGTTGTTTCGGAGCAGCCACGTTGCAGTCAGTAGGCAGTGAGTCATCGCCAGCTCAGAACCGCTGCTCGCTGCCTCCCACCGCTCCCCAAGCGCCAGCAATGCTGCTGGGTCACAAAAGTCTCCTGGAGGAGATGGAGGAGTCACGGAGCCCGGTGAGCAACGTTGGGACAGCAGCGCAGCGCTCCTTCTGGGTACCTGGATGGAAGCTGCCGCTACTCCTTACCGCTACCGAAGAAATGTAACGTCTGCCCGGCAACAGTCTCAGCACAGGGCTGGGCGAGATGCAGAGCTCCCAGTCCCCGTGCTGGCTGCGTAACACACTTAGCGGCCCCTGCTCCCAAGCCAGAACTTGCTTCAACTTTAAGCCACTGCTCTGTGGAACGCGCAGCTGGTTTATAAACACCGTGCGCTATCACGGCGCTTTGATAGGCACGCACAGATACGCGCCCGCTGACAACGGTGCCCACAACAGCACCGGGCACACGACGGCAGACAATGACCGCTCCTTCCTCCGGGACACACGATCACCTCAGCGCCCCGCCGGACACAAACGGCACAGAGTCCCCGCAGAACGAGCGCTCGGCGCCGCCCGGGGCGGAGTGCCGCCGTGAGCTCCGCGCAAGCCGCCCGGCGGTACCGCAGCGCCCGGGCGGCGCTGCCAAACTTCCGCCGACTTCACGAGGCGCGGCCCGCCCGCGGCGCCGCTCGGACGTCCGGCCGCCTCCCGCCGGGCGCATCCTCCCCCGGGGAGCCGAGCGCACGCCGCGCGGCCGCAACGGACCGAGGGGAACTCCGCGCTCGGCCCGGCCCGGCCCTACCTTCAAACGCCCTTCAGGCCGCGCCGCGCCGCCCCCGGCCCGGCGGAGGGACCCCGCGCCCCGCCCGGGAGGCGCCGCGGCGGCCGTTCCCGTTGCGCGGCGCAGCGCGGCCCGCCTCCCCGCCGCTCCGCCGCCGCAGTGCGCAGGGCCGCGCCGGGCGAGAGGAGCGGAGCGGGCCGGGCAGGGCAGGGGGCGCCGCGGCGGGAGGGAACAAAGCGCCTTTGTGCGGAGGGCCGGGCCGCGCGGGCGGCCGCGAGCCCCGCGCCCTGCCCCGCCTTCCCCCGACCCCCCGCCGCACTCACGGGCCTCCCCGGGCTCATCGGGCGCTGCGCTGCTCACACGGCCGGGCCCCGCGGCCCCGCCACCGGCTCCCGCCCGGCGCCCGCCCGCCTCGCCGCAGTCGCCGCCGCCGCAGCCGCCGCCATGTAACCCGGCGCGGAGGGCAGGCGGGGGCGGGGACGGCGGCGGCTCCGCCTCGGCCGGGCGGGGCCGGGCCCGCGGGGTCCCGGAGCGGGACCGGGCCGGGGTCCCTTCGGGGCGGTTCCGGCGGCACGGGGCCGAGCGCCGCGGCTGCAACGCCGTCGGAGGCGTCCCGTCGGTACCGCGAATGCTCTGAGTTAACAGCTGCCCCTTCCTCCTCCGGCGCGGCCTCCGCTCCGTCCTGCCGCCGTCACATCACCGGCTTCGTGCGTTTGACCCGCAGCGTGTCGCTGGGCGAGGCCTGGGGTCGGTTCAGAGACACCGCAGACCCAGAGGCCGGATCCGGGCAGGGCACGCGGCTCTCTGCACAGGGATGCCGGCCTGCAGCGCTGGCTCCGTGTAGCAGAGGCAGCGGGCCCGGCTCCACCAGCGGCGTTACCTGGGCTGGTGGCCGCAGGCCCCGCGCCGTCGTGCTCACGCTCAGTGTCTGCGTGCTGGAAGAGACCGCGCAGCAAGGAGGGCAGAGCGGCTCTCCTGCCCTGAAGAGAACGGTGTCATTCACGTTTTCCCGATCCCTGTGTCATTGTGGCCCCGAACGTTTCTCCCACAAGTACCCGCACGCTGCTTCCCACAGCTCACACTCCAGCAGTCATTCGCTCTCTACTCTCCTCGCCTGCAATTACATCCCTCTTAATGGACGTAGGCACAGACAGTAACTCTACTTTTTCCTCTAAATCACAACCAACACAACAAAATAAAGCAAAATAATTCAAACCTTAAATGTTTTCCCCACAAGACTTCTATGTGGACATCTCAATTCTCGGGTTTAGAAAGATGCAGGAAAATCACAGTGCTGCATGCAGCAGAAGGAAAGCTGAGGTTCCACTGAGGGAGTTTCAGCACAGCTCCGGGGCGTTCCCCAGGTCCCACACAGCCCTGTCAGTGCACGATGACTCAAAAGAAGATAGAACAATTAATGCTCATTTTTACTCTTTCAACCAATTATTTCTGACTTGAGATAGTGCAGAAGTTACTCACAGCGCACAGGGCTCTGTGCCTCCCTCCACTGCTACCCAAACAGCAGCGTCCTATTGACCCTGGCAGTTGTGAATCACTAACTTGATTTTTTGTTAAATGTGCCACCATATCTCACCAACTCACAATAATAAGTCTTTGCAGTAACAGGTGCAGGAAGAGTCAGCATTGCTCTAAAGAATGAGAAAGGGAGGAGTGGAAAGGCCAGTTCCATGGCACAAAGGATTGCAGGAGGGGAACTGGCGCAGCCCCACTGGTACTGCCCGGTGCTGCTCACATGCACAAGCATGCCTGCTCCCCAGCCAGCTGCTCCCCTCTTGCTGGGAGCAGAGAAGAAGTGACTGGGACATTTGCTAACAGCACAAATAGCTTACACACAGAAGTCAGTAGCCAAACTGCTGCTGCTCATTACGATATTTGGTAATTTACAGGCACCCGACTATGTTGCCAACAGTGGACAAAAGTCAGAAACAGAGTGGCATCTAGCTGCCCAGCAGAACAGCACTGGAGGATTGCAGCACTGGCTGCTACAGAGGCCTGTATTTAAATACAGTCTATAAAAAACTGCAAGAGTACATACTTGGAAGAGGTGATGTTAGGACAGCGCTCATAGCCAAGCCACAAAGGAAAATTTATTTGCATTAAAAGGAGAGATTTTGGACACACACAAAAAAGCAGGAGCAGCAGCGGCTTAAGTGTCTGAAAGCCAGAGCTATTCACTTAATTAAAGAATCCTTCCACCCATACAAAGTATTCTCATTATGGGAGACCAAAAAAAATCAAGCTGATCCTAGGGCACTGCAGCAGGAAAAAAAATACACTGCAGCCTTGCAGCAGCAAGACCCTATTACTGTACTACGTCCACTGCACTTTTGCCAGCACCCACACTGTTGTGCCAGTCAGGTGGAAAAGTCACACATCTGTGGAGTTTGCTGCACAGCAGTCCAGGACATTTGCGAAGTAGTGCAGCAAACACAGAGTGAGCTACAGGCTCACTCCCAAATCTCGTGTAGCCCAGATGTACCACTATTTTTCTGGGTTACTAATTAATGAATCAAGATCTCCCACCCAGAATTATTGTTTGCCATTCTAAGAGCACAGTCTGTGCGTAAAAGCAGTGAGTGAGATCCTTCTATCTAGGGGAAGTGTTGCTCTGCAATTTTTAGCTATCTAATCAGCTAAATTGCTAATCCATACCTGGATTTTTGATAGCTTATTAATTAGCTATAAATTCCTGCATTGAGTTGCTCTCCCACTCCCCTAAGAACACAATTATACTGCTTGTAGATGATACGTTATATGATACCATTTCATTTGAAAACATTTGCAGATATAAACTGCAGAGTAAGAAGGGAAGTGGTCTTAGAAGGCCATAAAGCCTAGCAATTAAAAAATAATTAGAACTGAAACAATGAATCTTTTATTAGATCCAAGTTCAAAAAGATCAAACAGTAAATTCCAGTGTACTATTTCAGTCCAAGTGTGAATCCCAACTTGTGGCATAAAAGGGAATAAAGCATTTTTTTTGAACAGCCACACCCATTACGATTGGCAATGGAAGAAAGATTATGAGAAGGATGAAAAGGTTGCCCAAGGTGACTTGGCAGCTCCAAGCTTTTGTCTCAGTTTTTCTGTGGGAAATCACTTCCTGGGTCTGTACAGCTCCCTCTCATCATCTCAGCTACCTCAAACCAAGCAGACTCCGCTCCCACTGAAGACGAAGGTGTTTTGGTGACACTGGCGTGTCACAGGTCCTGCAGCTCAGTGGAGTTGCAAACCCCTTGCTCTGCCAGCGTGCAGCTTATGGTGCTGGCATTCAGCACAGAAGCCCAGGTACAACTGAGTTTTACTGAAAAGTTAGACTGCACCTCTCCATATTGGATGTAGGTTTTTCTTTTCCTTTCTTTATTATTTTACACGAACACATTTTTCTAATGTAAACTCTCTGAGTTCATTGACACCATTCTTTTCACACCAACATTATCAGCAGGTAATCACGTACAAGTCACCATCTTACTTTTCTTTTTTCTTTTTTTTTCCCCCCCCAAAATTTGGTGTCAAAATCCTTTCTGAGTTGCACTGTACAATAGCCAAAGCACGGCACAGACAGCACGCCATCACCTCGTGCACTCGCTGGCTAGAACTAAGTTTGCTGGAGCAAACTTTGTACCCATCTACAGTGTGATCAGGAAAAAGATATGAGAGCATTAGAGGAGTGAGAAGAAAGGAAAAAGGCAAACCCTAAAGTCTTCATTGCTGTGTGAAACAATGGAAAAATTGAAAAGAACAGGCTATTGACAAAGAGACCAATTCAAACCAAAGGCAGCAATGAACAAAGGGCAAGTGAAGGTGGAAAAAGAAAGTCACTCACAGAAAATGTTTAACTTTGAGGTTAGAAATAAATGATCCTGTGACATACTTTGGAAATTCTGTGATTCTGCAGAAAAAAAAGAAAAAAAGTCATTAAAAACTTAAAACGAGTCATTCTTCCCCCTTGGTAGATGATCAGCAATCTAGGACACTACAGTACAGCTTAACTGCATGCAAACTCCCCTCTTAATAGCTTGCATTTATTTTAAGACAGGCAGTTCCATTGCCTACTTTTTCTGTGTCTTTACCAACACTTGGCACATGGACACAGCAGCTGCCTGAAGCAGAATTTGATGAAGCCATGGTAATACTGGGAGAAGAGGAAACCATAGAACGTGACCCAACTTGTTGCTGGGTCGTCACTGAAAGCAGCCTCAGTGTGTGAGATTCACTTGGCAAAGCACAAGCTCTTCCACATTTTGGGACCTTTTTTAAAATTCTTTGCTATCTAATTTTGCATAGAGGTTAGACATTACTATTTTATGCACAGAATAGTAAACACACAGAAAAATTTACCAAGGTAGGCAATGAAGGCAGGAGACCAAAGCATGTGTATTAGGTTTAAGCACATTTTACTGGTACCAATGTGTTCATGCCTGGATGCTCCAAGTGACCTGAGTTTCTTCTAACTTCCCAGCGCAGGACACGGGACGTGTGCTGTAGCAATGTGTAGATCCTGTCAGTGGATGAATCTACAGCTGAAAAATACTCTCAGAAAGAGGAATTGGACTGTTGTGGTAATGCAAGGCACAGGATGAAATGGAAACAAGAAGCACCAAGTGTTGGGATCTATTTTCAGCTCTTAAGAGCAAGGGAATTCTGTGTGTGACAGTCCTCCCCCATTCAGTCCTGCTTCTTCTGACTGTGCTATGGTGCTGCTCTGATCCCTGCATCCAGAGCCTCAAGCAAAGCACTTCAGAGAACATCGGCCTGCAGAAGTGGCACCAAGGTAGTTGTCAGGGGCATCTCTGTACTACTATCCTGGCACAACTCTGTACCGTGTGCTAGTGCACTGTAGTGTGGTAAGGAAGCATATCACTGTACAGATGTTATTTAAATATCAATAATACCTTGGTCACTCCAAAGTAGAGAGATGCCCTGGAAATAGGGTGGGGTAGCGTCAGCAAAACTGCCTTTGATTTGTATAGCTACCTGAAAATACGTCAGCACTTCAGCAGAAGTTACAAGGGCCCGATGATGGATTTACCTAGAACAATTATATTTCATTGCAGAGCTACTGCATTTCATTGTAGAACTATAAGTGTTTTAATGCAGAACTACTCCTGTTAGTTCCTATGGAACAGTAACCCTTCCTACTTGCAGCTTTTTGCAGCATTTTAATTGCTATTGCATTACAGAGATGAAGTGTCTGCTGTATGACTGTAAATACAGCTGGTATTGCAGTGCTTGTCACTGACAGAGAAAAAAATATCCAACTAACATTTGCTAACATGTTCACTAGCACCAGAATCCTCTTGAAATACATTTACAGGGGGCAAAGCTCAATACAAATACACGTGCAGCAGCTGATACACTTCTTTCCGCCTGAGGCTATGCAACTTTT